GCCGGACAATGGATTAGCTTGCCAAACCTTTGGAACTTGTCACATTTCTTAACCATTTCCATGGCATCAGCTTCCAAGGTAGGCCAGAAGTAACCTTGCCGCCTGGTTCTTTGAGCAAGCGACCTACCACCTACGTGAGAAGCGCAGTACTCTGAATGTAGATCTTCTAAGACCTCTCGTCCTTTCTCTAGGGTAACACATTTTAGGAGGGGCTGAAGATACCCTTTCTTGAAAAGTTCCCCTTTACACATCTCAAAGTTAGACGCCCGTTTTTTCAGTAAGGCCGCCTGGGAGTAATCACTCGGCAAGGTGCCGGCTGTCAAATAGGCTCGGATGTCATCCATCCAAGTTGAGCTTCTATCAAGGATTCCAATAGGTTCTTCCTCAATTGCTTCGTTTCTCCATAACTTCCTAGAAAACGGTCCTTGGTGTGTCACAGGAGGCCGAGGATGCTAGTTTAGAGAGGGCGTCCGCTTGATTATTCTTGGACCTGGGTACTTGAGTTAGATGAAATTCCTCAAGTGACCAAGCTGCTTGTCTTACCGCCTGTAAATATTTAATCATGGCCGGATGGGTGGCTTCATAATCACCATTGTATTGGCTTACTATCAACTGTGAGTCTGAACAGGCGTCTATTTTCCTTGCCCCGGCCGCCTTGCACATGCGGATACCGGCCAGTAGGGCTTCATATTCTGCCTCGTTGTTTGAGGCTTGGAAGTTGAATCGCAGTGCATACTCATACCTGTCACCTTCAGGCGACTGACATATGACGCCTGCACCACATCCATTCATAGTGGAGCTCCCGTCCACATAGACCTTCCAGACTTGGTCTGGAATTGTAGAATCAGAAGGCCGAGTCATTTTTACTATGAAGTCAGCAAATGCTTGCCCCTTCACTGCTTTTCTTGGATCGAATGTGATTTCAAGGCTCTGTATCTTTATTGCCCATTTTATCATTCGGCCTGACGACTCCATGGTTGTCAGGGGCCGCTTGATCGGCTGGTTTATATATACCACGATCACTGGATGCGCCAAAAAATAGGGCTTCAACTTTCTAACTGCCATGAAGAGGGCAAGGCCAAATTTTTTAACCAGGGGGTATCTCAACTCGACATTCTTTAAGACATGACTGACAAAATAGACCGGGAGCTGGCAGCCGTCCTTCTCAGCAAGGAGGACGGCACTTAGAGCATGGTCAGACACTGCTAGGTACATATAGAGGACTTCTTTTGGCAAAGGGCTGACCAGCCTTGGTAAGGAGTGCAAGTGTGCTTTCAGCTTCTGGAAGGCCGCCTCAACATCCGGCCCCCATTCAAACATAGCCTTCTTTTTGATTGCCTGAAAGAAGTAAAGGCATTTGTCGCCTGCTCGACTGAGAAATCTCCCCAGGGCCGCCAGACAACCTGTAAATTTCTGGACCTCTCGAACAGTACGGGGCGGCTGCATGTCTATGACCGCCTGCACTTTTTCGGGGTTAGCCTCTATGCCCCTTTGATTGATAAGAAATCCGAGAAACTTCCCAGACTCTAACTCCAAAAACACACTTCTTGGGATTGAGCATGACTTGGTGCCGCTTGAGTGTGGTGAATGTTTCTCGGAGGTCGGTCAAATGGTTTGTTTTGAGTTTAGACTTCACAATCATATCATCTATGTACGCCTCAACGTTCCTCCCAATTTGGTCAAAAAAAGACCGTGTCAATCATTCTCTGGAAGGTGGCCGGGGCGTTCTTCAAACCAAACGGCATGACCGTGTAACAATAGAGACCCTGATCTGTGACAAAGGCCGTCTTCTCTTGGTCCTTCTTCCACAGGGGAATCTGATGGAAACTAGAGTAGGCGTCCATGAAACTCAATAACGCGTGGCCAGCTGTAGAGTCGACTAGACTGTCGATCTTGGGCAATGGATAACTATCTTTGGGGCACGCCTTGTTCAAGTCTGTGTAGTCCACATACATGCGCCAGGTACCATTCGGCTTTTTCACAAGTACAACGTTTGCAACCCAGTCAGGGAAATAACACTGCCGAATGAACCCTACATCAAATAGTTTTTTAACCTCGGCGGCGGCTGCCTGGCTTCTTTCTTCACCATGGTTTCGCTTCTTTTGCCTGACCGGCTTCTTTTTCGGATCCACAGCTAACTTATGCACTGCTAAGTCTGGACTTATACCTGGCGTCTCATGTACTTCAAATGCGAAGATATCCTTGAATTCCTTCAAGAGTTGGTGAAAGTCATCACCAAGCAAAGCAAGAGCAGTCGTCCCAACCTTAACTGTTTGGTCAGGACGTGAGTCGTCCAGGACGACGTCCACATGCTCACTAGCCGGCTGAGGCGGAACTCGTCTGACCGCTCCTCGGCCAGTGATTGCTATCGTTTTTCTTTTCTTTCGGCCCCTAGTTGGGCGGCCTTTCTCTTCTTGCCGCCTACTAGTTGAGCAGGCGCCTCATCCTTGATTTGCTCAAGGTCATTTTTCTCTCCACTGGGACCAGCAGTCGCCACAGTGGCCTTTCTTATAACTATTTTTATTGCTTTATTTAGGTACTCTCTTGGTTTTACCTTACTCTTAAAGTAGGGGTTTTACAAGTGAGTTTTTAATAATGTTTTAATTATTTTCTTAGTAGTAGTTATGGGGCCTTGGGCTTCCAAAGTTGTCTGAATTAATTAGTGGGCTCTCTTGATTCATTAATTAATTATTAGGGCTTTTTATTTAGTTTACTTGCAGGGCAAGTAGGATAGATTTATTTTTCCTATATATACTAGTTGTATGTCAATTATTTTAGGAAGATGTTTTATGAATTATAATTTGAGATTATTGAGCTTTTGCTTGAAGAGAACTTTGTTAAGGTTCAAACTAGTTGTTAACTAGGGTTTTGGGATCGTCGCTCCTAAAATCAAACTTAGAAGTCGTTGCCTTCTAAGACTATCTTTCAAATTTCCACCATTAAAACCACTCAAATCCTTCCATTAAATATAAACCGTCAAAAATACGCATCAGTCTGGTCTAGCAATTAATATGCACGTGTGTTTAGGCTTCTCTAGGCGAGAGTAATTATTGCTAAATCCTCTTAAATGGAGGCTTAGTTACTGTATTTATAGCCTCGGTATGCGTGCCTAATTCTAGGGTTTTTGGTAAACCCTAGATCTGACTGGGCTTCTCTCGGGAAGTGGGCGTAGGTGGCCTCCTTCCAAGTTGGCGATCAGTAGGCCACATGGCGTGGCATGACTGGTCCATGGTGGACAAATGGCTGTGTGCCACGTGGCAGACCCTGATAGATCCAAATGGGGGACACTTGGCAGGACCTGATTGGTCCACGTGACGTACACTGATTGGGCGGGGAAAATCCCCTAATCAGTTTGAATTGGACAAAATAGAATAGTTGTCCCAGGTCACGAGACAACAACACTTGGCAATCCAGTTTTTCGCCAAGTGTCGAGCCACGTAGGCGATAAATAGGTTTTATTGTGATTCATATAATGCTGAAGTAAGCGAATTTTGGATAAATTTTTTAAGATAGAATTATTGTGTAGAGTTTTATTATCGATATACTTCTAATATTCATATACAAAATTAATCATAAATTTTAATAAATGTCCTACAACTCAGTTCTATTTCCATCATAAAATTCGTTTTACAAAGTTCTTTAAAATAAGATTCATTTATAATATATTTATTTTATAAAATTAATAGAGAATTAGTAAAAATCAGTTTTAATCCGTAAAAATAAGTTTTAGTTTGGTAAAAGTACTTTCGGTTCAGTAAAATAATTTAAGTTCAATAAAAATAATTTCAATTCAATAATAACATAGGTATCTTATTTTATACTATTGAATAGTCTTTTTGATAAATTAAATATCATATATATAACTAATATATAAAGCTAAACTTTTAGCCAGGCCACGAGACAGCGACACTTGGCAATTAACTTTTCGCCAAATGTCACGCCACGTAGACAACAATTAGTTATTAGTATGACACGTAGGATGAAAATGTTGGATATATTTAGATATATTTTGTAAGATAAAAAAGTTAGTTAGAGTTTTATTTTCAATAAAATTTGGATAGATTTAAGGATAAAATTACTGGTTTAGAGTTTTATTTTCTACAAAATACCAATATTTTATGTGTACAAATAAAATTAAAATCCTATTAAAATAATAAATTATAATTTTCAATAATTATTATCTTAATAATTTATTATTCTTATATCATAATATTTGTGTTAAAGAGTATTTCAAAAAAATCCATTTATGATATACTTTAAAAATTATAACCCACAACTTTATGATCGGTAGTAATATATTTTTACTTAACAAGCTGATGGTTTCAAATAAAGTCTAGAAGTACTCAAATTATTAAATGTCAATGGAACTGTAAAATTAAATTATTCATTCGCTTATGAACATCTAAAGCAACTAATGTTTCAAACGTGGATAGATTTAGACATTAGTAATAAATGCGTTTGAGATTATAATTGTTCCTTATAATTATTTTAAAAGTAGCCAATTAATGCAAGGATTTTAAAACATAAGGATATATATTATAAAGGGAACGCGGGGCATCGCCCAGGGTTACGTACAAGTATATTATGAAGGGGAGTTTTTTTCCCGAGTTTTTAGAGAGCCACGTAGGATAAAATTTTCTAAACGCGCCATGTAGAATAATAAATTTTAGTGATAGCCAATCAAATAAAAAATTTGTAAATTCTTTTAGAATTAAAAAATTCAAATGCCACATAAGCAAAATTGGGAAATGAAATTTTAAAGTTTAAATTAATGAAATATAATATATTATCTTTAGAAATTAGAAATTTTGTTTAAATATTTAACTGGAATTCACAATTTATTTTAAAATAAAATAAAATGATATACTGCATATTACGAATAAAATAACAAATTTTATCACACATATAAAACAAATATTTGTTTTAAAAAAAACAAATAAGCCATGAGAGAGAAAATTGGATGTTGGATTGTGGACATATTATCAAATTCAATTGAAAAAGTATAGTAGATTTTCATTTTCAAATAAACGTATTTTCAAAAAAAAAAAAAAAAACAATCGGTTGAGGGCTCGACCGCTCTAGTTTGGGTTGAGTCTGATTTGACCAGCAAATTTACGGGTTGTATGGGTTCTGGCTATATTGGGCTTCCAGTCAAAAAAAATTTGTTCAAAACCCAAAAAAAGGGTTGGGATTGAGTCGGATTTGAAGATCAGGTAAAAATTAACAAGTCTAGGTGCAACAAATTGGTCGAAGGAAATAGTATTCGTTGTGCTTGAAAGATTTGATGCAAGTCCAAGTAAAATCTAGGAATTCCCAACATCTTCCATATTTCAATTCCATCTTAACAGACAATAGAAATGGTAATGCTTAAATCAATGGAAGAGAATTACCCCTTAATCGATTCCAACTTCCTCGAATTTTGCGGGTCTCGTGGCATTTTTACTGGTAATCTTTTCTTCATCTTTCTCTTCAAAGTTATAAATTCATTGCTTAATTTTTTTTTTTTTTTTTGAAGAAATTCATTGCTTAATTTGGTTTATTGCTACTGCTATTACTAATTGAGTGAATATATAACGCTGAAATTTTCCTACGAAACAAAACCCTTCATTAATTTTACTTTTTTAATTTCCTTGATTAGTTGGAATTCTCCAATTTGATGGGATATTATATTGCTATACATTTTCTGTGTCACCCAGTTGGTTTCTTCAGTTTAATGGAGTTAGTAATTTGCTAGAAAGAACTGAAACTTCTGGGACCTGAGGCCCTGAGGGTTACCCGTTTCTGTATTAATGAAGCTCTGGAATATGTGGGGCTTGAGGTTTTCCTGTTTTTGAAACGTTTCTGTTTCCGAAACCTGAGTCGTTTCCGTGCTACATACTTACAGGCAGTTCATGTCAAAAGTGTATTGCTCTCCGTTAATTTTTAGTTGCGACATTTTCATTTGTTTGGACAATGCATAACTTCAACCATTAAAGAATTATAACATTATTTGCCCATTAAGTAATAATTTGTAACAGTTGATAATTTGAAAGTATACATTGAGATGATCTAGTAGGAACCCATATGACCATTTTTTTTTTTCTTTAAAACTATCAAAGATGGTCAATTACGGTGTGTAAATAGCGAAAAAGTTAAAGTGTTGCAATTGATGATAAACGGGTTGAAACTGTTGATTAGAATAAGCTGATGTAATAGTTGGAAAATTTCGTTGCATTACACCTTGTTAACACTTATAAAAACATTAATTTTGTTATATGACAAATGCAACTTTCGATTTTTCTCCAGTGGAAGATTTCCTAATTTATGATCTGAATTCTTTGATTTCCTTCACTGAAAAGAAACCAAATACAGAGAGATTGAAGCAGGTTTTGCTCCACCTCCTTAAAATTGCTTATATGCTTCACACCGATGTCGGTTTTGTGCATGTCTGTGATAGGATGTAATGTGGGTGTTTAGGGAATTGAGCAAGTGCTTTCAATAGTTGATAGTCTTCATAGACCATGGTTGAACGGTGTGGAGTTACATAAAGATGCTCAGAAAAGTAAACAAACATTCCTTGCTTATGAAGGGTAAGATTTGAGCCTGAACACTCCCTTGTTATTCAGAGTTGGAAGGATGTTGCTTATTTGGAGAGTCCTATTATTGTGTGTTTGTAGGATTGATCCTTTTCTACATGGGGTGCTAAGAGAGGGGTTTGTAACAGAACTAGTTGGACCGTCATCTTCGGGCAAAACACAGGTGAATCTTGCCTCAGTTGATTGTCTTGTTATTTTTATACATTGCTGGGACATATATGGATGGGAGTACCTACTGTGAACATGTTGTAAAGATTGGATTTAAACTTACTGTTAATGTTTAGGTATGTCTCCAAGCTGCTGCAACTGTTGCGAAGGAATATGCAAGTGGTGTTGTATTCTTAGACTCAGGAAATTCCTTTTCTGCACCACGAATTGCACATCTTGTGAATCAGGCTTCATTTTCTACTTCGAAGCAGGTTTCCTTCTTTTCTTTGCGTGCATTGTTTTGTTTTGGAAAGTGATCTTTGCAGTTACATGGTTTTGTTTCAGTGCAAGGCTGTTTTTGTATCTTATTTTTCCTTGGAATGGAAACTTTCTGCTTTTTCGAGTGAGAAATAGGCAATGCCTATGATCTTTTAAAATGATGGACTCCTTTCATCCTGATATTATTCTTTCATTGCCTTAACACCCATCCCTATACAATTAAGGATTTCATTATGATTTCACCAATATATCCGTTATAATTGTTGTGCCATTCACACCCTCTCTTCATGCAGCACTTATATACTTGATTTAAGTGCATGTTTTGGAATATCTGATCAAAAGCCTACCATTCTCTCAGCAAATGTGGTTTTTATGCATCTCACAACAATACCTATTTCACAATACTTCGTATAAGGGAACATTATAGTAGGATTTGATGATCATTGTGATATTAATGACCGTTTTCACTTGATACTGATTGCTAACATCTCAAACATTTATGATGTAACTAGCAGAAACACATTGTATGATTGTTAACACATTTTAAGCTGATTTGCATCCTACATCTGTTTTTATAACATTGTTCTAAATATACTTGCTATCTTGCTAACAGAGCTCAGATTAACTTTGTATTTGCTACCTTCTGGAATCAGTTGACTTTCTCCAACTTTCTTACCTGTACTTGGCTAATATCCTTGTGCTATTCCTTTGCATTTGGTGCCAGAACTCTTGAATTTCTTACATAATATAAATGCATGTATCTTAAGTTAAAAGCAACATATTTTAATTAGGATTACATATATACAAATTGGAGTTGAAATGTTATTGGTTAGTTTGCTTAGAATCTGTCCACCTGGAGAAAATTCATGACACTTATCATAAAACTGAGTTAAGATAGAAGTATTAAAATCTGGTTGTTCACCCTGCCATGTGTTTGCATGCTTCTCTTGAAAGACAGACTTTTAAGGGCAGAATCGCGTTGGTCCAGAAAGTGAGCTATAGAGGAAATAGGCTGATAGAACGAGCAGATGATTTGGTTTGATTCTTGCAAGTCCAAAGTAACGGCATAGTTACCCCTTAAAGGAATTTGCTGGTAGAAGCACATTACCTGCTAATATTGCAGCTTTCCCTCTATCTCTGTATCAGGCCTGTCAGCTTTAGATTCATCTTTTTAATCTTGTCCAAGTTTTCCAGGCTCAATGCTTATGGTTATACCTTTGATATTTTTGTTTTTCATCTGTTGGATAGATTGTCAGTATTGAAAAGTGCAATTTTTTCATTTAAGACCTGAAAAACATTAGTCTCATTCTGGCTCACTGTGGAAGCCTCTAATTTTGTGTTTCACAAGGAGTCTCGTAGTACTTGACTGAATACATATTGCACCTGTAATTAATGTTGTGGCCTCAGTGACATTGCTGTTACGTTTTGAAATTTGTACCCTCTTAGGCAACTTCTTATTACTGAGCTTTGATGATGCCTTTTAGTTTGAACTTTTTTGTTGCATAGCTGTAAGTTTTAGTCTTAAGACTACTTTGCACTTATCTTGCTATATCATGATGTTGTAGGCCAATAATGAAGCTCTTCATATTGTTATGAAGAACATATGGTGCTACCCAGTATTTGATATCTTTTCCTTGTTCAATGTACTGCATCAACTAGAGTCGAAATTAAAAAGCGAGGTTTGTATTATTAATTTATGCTTGCAGAACACTGCATACAAGCTATCTTATTGTAGATGATTTTGGATTTATTTTTGGTTATTGTTAGATGTGTTCAGTGCGGTTGCTCATTGTGGACTCATTTTCATCTCTCATTATTCCTCTTCTCGGAGGTGGTGGTCCATATGGTAAGTTTCTTTTGTGCAAATTGAGCTTCCATATGTCTGCATTTAATTTTGTTATGCTTCATTCTTTATGGTATGGTAATTCTTTTAGCTCCTATCTCTTAATTTGAAGTGGGTTTTTGGAAACTCAGGCTTGAAATAATTTGTTCTGAAAAAAAGGTAAAGAAACCTAAATTTATTAATTCAGTTGCTTCTCATATGGCCATGTGTTTCGGACAAGATTAACACTTCCGCTGTAAAAAGAAACATGCTAATATATCTACATTCTTACTCTGTAGTACAGGATGTACTTCTTCCTTTTCCTCACCGTATCTCTAGAAGTTAGGCGTTTACTTGGCATTGGCATTTGTTAATTTCCAATGTATATAAACACCACACCAATGCACTGGCTATCTTTACTCACTCCTTGCAATAATACCTACTGTGGCTTTAGGCCAGTTTGTCTAGGTAATGGTAAACATGAGGGTGAAGTTGCTATATGTGGTTTGATGTGATGCTTTCCTATGACCAATCTGTCAGCAGACATCAATGGACTGAACCTAATTAATAGACGAGCAATTTCATGCGTTAAGAACCACTTAATTGGAGGGAGCCTATGGGCTATGGTGTTTGTGTAACACAGTAAACCTCTCTTGTAAAGCTAAAAAAAAATTCTGTGTTTTTTCATAGTGACATTACTAGAATTTTTTGATCTTATTCCCTGTTTCTCATTACATACACTTCCCAGAATTTTGTCTTTTCACAGTGGTATTATTACCAGAATTTTGTGATCTTGTCTCAGTCATTTTCATTACATACTCTTTTTATAGTTGTTTATGAGGGATTCTCATCAGATAGTTCATCTGTTGTATAATTGTCCATTTTTTGAAAGAGTGAGAAATTTGCTGATTGTATGTGGCTAATTGTTCATCTCTAACATGGCTAATTGTATGTGGGACTCAATGTTGACATTTGGTACTTTCATTAGATAATTACATGTTTGATGGATTTCAGGACATGCTCAAATGATTTCTGCTGGAAATTTGCTAAAGAAGATAGCCCACGAATACAGCATTTGCGTACTGGTGAGTGGCACTCTTGAATATTTGAAAACCTTGACATCTTTGAGTCAGGCTTAAGAAAGATGTAATCCCATAGCTATTGTATTGTCGCTTACATAGATATATTTGATGGCATTTGCTTAGGTGACGAATCATATGGTAGCTGGAGAAGGCGGTTCAGCAAAGCCGGCTCTTGGAGAAAGTTGGAAAAGCGTCCCACATGTGAGGTTCCTCCTCTCTCGTGATCGAGAGACAAACACATGTACCATCTCTGTTGTCAGACACCCATCCATGGTAGGTTCTTTAAAACGATGTATAAACTTCTGGTTACATTCAAGGGCATTTGTTTGTAATTCCGTAGTATTGTTCACAACTCCTCGCTTCACAGGCTGCTGGAAATCAAGCGAAGTTCAAGATTTGTGATAGTTAAGAGGAGCTCAGCTCAGATAGTGTAATGGTTATATACAACTATTGTAATGGTATTATAAAACTCTTTGACGTCAATTTATGACATTATCTCAAACTATTTGAAACAGAGATCTGTGAAACACACTTTTATACAATGCAAATATGCTAATATTCGAATTCAGTACCAGTAATTTATTTTTATTTTTATTTTATTGTTGAACCCTACATCCAAAGCACAGAGGCTGTATTCATACTGATTACAGTAACCAAAAATGTAATCTACTCACCTCCTTATGTTGCTACAAGTGCCGAATTCATTCTCGTTTCAATCCGCAAAGGAAACTGAAGAGTACATTCAGCTAGGTTCAATCAATTAAGGAACCTCGAAAGTGTAATCGATTAAATTGGTCCCTGGAGCATTCACATGAGTACTATACGTTCACATCTGAAGGGATGCATGTACATCACATACTGTCGTGCGTAGATACTTCGTATTAGACATGCTTGTTCAACCGCAAAGAATTCTCATATTAACTTTCCAAAGAGAAGTAGGGGTGTCTATTCGGTTTTCGGTTTGGATTTAGATCAGATCTAATCCGATCCCAAATAAAATTCGGTTTTAAATTTTTAAATTTAATCCAATCCGAAATAAAATTTGGTTTTTAATTTTTAAATCCAATCCGATCCGAATTTCTTATCAATCCAATTTGATACAATCCAAATTAAAATTCGGTTATTTGGATCCAATCCAAAAATCCGAATTAAAATACATTACAAATTTTTAGGGCCTAAAGTGACTATTAAAATAAAAATGCAATTACAAAAATTTTAGTCTTGAAAACATAATTGTACATGATTAATACAAGTATTGAAAACATAGTTTTACATAACAATATTAATGAAATTATTAATATGATTAATATAAATAATCCTTCTTTGTAAAAGTGTGATTTCATATTTTGGTTAATTCGGTTTCATGGATTCAAACAAGGTCAATCCGATTCGATCCAAAATCCGAATTTTTAAAAATTTTCAATCCGATCCAATCCGATTTAATGTTTGGATCCGATCCGAATTAATAATTCGGTTTGGATTGAATTGGATTTCGGTTTTTATCCGAATAATGAACACCCCTAATTATGAGAAGAGTAGCTTTGATTATGCACCATCTTTTTATTGTCTTGATATCTGATAAAACATAAAAATCAAGTCAGCTCAACATTAGAAGTTTGGAACCAATCAACCAAAAGATGCTGTGGAAGCCTTACTGACGACGGACGATTTAACATGGCAATGCCAATGTCTAAACAAGACCATGTCTTTACATGCTTCAGGAAAAAAAAAATGTACAAATCATATTAAATAACTAACTAGTTTTGCATCTGGGTGATGCCTAAGTTGTTGATTAAATTTTAAGATTAACTATTCATGACATTATCGTTATTTTTATGATAAGTTGATATAAAATATCATTGTTTTAAGTTGAAAAACTAGTTTTTGGGCCTAGCCGATACCCCAAATTATTACATGTATTACAATAATTATGAATGATATTCATGATTCAAAGTATTATAATGATTATGCATGACATTCATGATTTAATCCTACTTTTATTGATTTTTGGGAAATTATCACTGATACACTCTAGATTTTGACTTTTATCTTTAATACACCTCATTAAGTTTTCATTGTCAGCGGTACACTCATAATTATCACTAAATTACTACAGTAACCAAAATGTTAATCAAACGTTTAGTTAGTTAATCAAAAACGTTTTAATTGAAAAAAAAGGAAAAGACCTCAATGCCCTCCCATTTAATATCCCTCTAACATTTCCCACCTTATTTTTGAATAAAAATTCAATTCCCATCACATTAACACTTATAAATACATGCTCTTCTCCATACTTTCTATTCTAATTTCTTTCTCTTTCTTTTTTTTTGCTTTCTCACTTTTACTTTCAAATCTGCAATTGCTTCCTCTGGCACAAGATCTATTTCAAGCAACAGAAATGTAAGAGGTGTGTGGTTTAAAAGCATTACCTATAATTGAATCCTCCAAGATTTGCAGACATCAGGTTCTCAAACTCAGCAGCAAATCCCGGAAGGCCCTATTACAAATGCAGGCTCCGTGACTTCTTCTTGTGGGTGACTAATGAACATAGTGTAAGGGATGTTGGTGGAAGACCTGGTGACATGTCAAAAGCAACATATGTCAACTTTTAAGGGCAGAATTCACTGAGTTCATGAAGAAGACAGATGAATTTGCTGATTTTGAATTATGTAAGTTAGAAAGTAAAAAATTTAGCAAGCATACATAATCAAAGGCAAATCGAACATAAATCAAGGAAAAATCAAACAACATTAGAGCATAATTCAACCAGTCAACATAATTCAACCACTTACACAAAATTGCATACTTCATCTAAAACCTAGCAATTTAAAGCGAAAAAAATCAGAAATTACAACAACAAATAAGCACTAACCTTTTACAATCCACAAGCAGGCCTGAATCTCCACGAATTTTGCTTCAAAAGCGTGACAATTAGGGTTTAAGGAAGAATAAGAACAGGGGAGAAAGTGAAGGAGATGAAAAAAAAAAAAAAAAAATTGGAGTTAATGTTGACAGTTGGGCTTGGAGGGAGAGTTAATGAGTGGGGGAGCATTTTAGCCAAGTCAAGTCTAAGCAAAATCCCTGTCATTAACCCTAACTTAACGTTTGATACTGTAGTAATTTAGTGATAATTATGAGTGTACCGCTGATAATTAAAACTTAAGGTGTATCAAAGATAAAAGTCAAAACCTGGAGTGTACCATTGATATTTTTCCTAGATTTTTTGTATATTATGTTGTCATAATAATTTTTTATTGATTTTTTGCATTATGTTGTCATATAATATTTTTTTTGCTATTAAAGACACATTAAAACATGGTTCAATGGTTAAGTTCCTATTAGTTAACCTTGTGATCAAGAGTTCAAATATTGTGCAAATCATGAATCCAGAATTTTGAATGTGTAATTAATCACATGAAATAATAGTCAACAAAGAAAGTCAAGAAAGTACATGTCACGTGGCATGTGGACTTGATGTTGGGAGGAGAGAGAAAAGGAAATATTAAAATATGATAGTTGGGGGTCTACTAGGAAAGAAGAAATTAGTAAAATATTATAAAAGGTTTTCAAGAAAGGAAATGAAGCAAGTAATAAAATATGGCCGCAAAGGAAAGTGGAGCAAGTACTAAAATACGGAGGGAGTATGTTATATGAAGTACAATTTATGTGTTCTAATTCTGTTGATTCTATATTAGGAGAAAATACTATATTAGTTTTGATTAAGGAAATTTTATCAACAACTACCATTAAAATAATCACTTCTGACACCAACTCCCTACTAATTTTCTTTTTTTTTTTTTGAAAAAACTAGCACAAAAACACAGATTGTTTAAGTAGCACTTGCACTTTTGGTTTTCCGGCAAAAATCTCCGTTTGGTGGGGTTTACTTTATACAATTTCAATCAATTGGGGTAAAGACACCAACAGAATTCAGTGCCCGAACACAATTATAGGTTAATTATTATCTTTAATTTAGCATTGTGGATGATTTAATATCTCCATTGAATATTAAAATTAGGGTTACAAAAAAAAGAAAAAAAAAAAAAATTTAATTTAGGGTTTTACGAAGTTGTGGGCCGAATTTGGTGCAATTGAATTGTATTACCCAATTTAGTGTTAATGTAGAGACAATTTTGTTAGTTCATATAGATTTTTGGACGGAAATTTTATAAATTGGGTCTCTTTAACCGGAGATTCTTGCCGGCAAACTAAAATTGATAGTGCTACTCAAAATTTTTGTGTTTTTGTGATAGTTTTTTCAAAAAAAAAAATTATTAATAGGTAGTTGTTCTCAAAAGTGTTCATTTAAATGGTAGTTGTTGACAAAATTTCCTTTGATTAATTGCAACTAACGTACGCACTTTTCTTTCATCTTTAATTGCAACAATTACTTGTTTGGTAGTTTTATGAGGAGCTCACCCCAATTGATCTTTATGATCAACATATTTTGTCAATCTAGTGGTTAGTCATAACAGCCAACTCATACTTGTGTTTCTTCAGTTGCTTAATCACCAAACAACCATAGCCTAGATCGTAACTTTGTTTGTTAACGTACGCTAACAAAGGTATCTATGTTGCTTCCTCCATTGAAGCTACCACCGCACTATCATCTTCATAATCATGCCCAAGCTTCATCCATTAAACCGTCCATACCACATCTCTAACGGCTTTGCCGCCAAATTAAACAAAAATCCTAGAGATGAAAGGTGAAATTAAGGGCTTGGTCAACCCCAAAGGGTAGTGGTGACCATTTCACCTTAATAACTTGAGGAGCTTGCCATTGTTGAGAGGGAGAAAGAATGAGTGATTTTGGGGGGGGGGGGGGGAGGGGGGGTGGTTGCCCAGTTGAGAGAGAGACAGAGACAGAGAAGGAGTGATTAGAGACTTGCCCCTAGCTAACGGACGTTTGGTAGTAGAGTAATGAATTGGCAATTGCCAAATAATTTTGTTGCTTTTACGTACCAAAATGTCCCATATTAAATAAATGAAAATCCAAAATTGCGCATACGATTGATAAAATATGTTGATCTTAAAGATCAACATGTATTTAGTCTTTTATTAAGTAAATATATATATATATTTTTTTGACGAGTTTTATTAAGTTAATAGATGTCTATATTATTTCACTCTACTACTCATGAAATTTGTTATTTAAGAATTAATGATCACTCGAATACTCGATAATTATGTTTGTAAAATAAATAACATCACGTTTATTAATAATTTTACTATCCAAAAGCTACAACGCACAATATAACAATCATATTAGATTGGGTTTTTTTTAAATCATATAAATTATATTCTTAAGGCCCTATTTTCTTCACATTATTTTTATTGAAACTAAAATACTCCATTTTTACTTATAATATAACACCTTGTCTAATAGGACTAGAGGCGATAGTGGAAATAACATTAAGATGACAATCTAATATATCATATCATATCACCAATAAATAAAGCCGGTCTCGCAGCCAGGCCTCGAGACATCGACACTTGACATTCCACTTTTTCGCCAAGTGTCGCGCCACGTAGGTGATAATTATCGATATGCTTCTAATAGTTCATATA